CTCGGAATCAGTGACAGTGGTCACACCACTACACCACAGGCTGAACTGGTCAGCTGATACAGACACGTCGAATAAACTGCAACAGTTACCACAGAAGTACTTCAAGTAGCAGGAAGAGATCGGGACCGATCCTTTCAATGTTCTTATCTGTACTTTTACTTTTCCATCTGGACTCGTCCTTGGTTTCCCTTTTCTGTTGTATGGTGAGCTGCGAAGAAGTAGACTGTATGTACTAGTAGCTCGTATGCGAGTTGCACTTCCACCGCACAGACTGAGAGTTCAGACTTCAATACTGCTTTGATGACAGTGTACTTCAAATGTGCTTGAAATACATTGTATTACCGCTGGCTGATGAACTGATTGCTATACCGATGGAAAGAAAGCAGTGCTAGGATTCTGCAAGGGTGGGAACGAAAAAGATAACAACACTGGCCGCACACATACGGTGAGGGTGCCTGCCGCCTCCCAGCTGCTAGTACTGTGCGGGTGCCGCCGTCCAGCTCAGCTGCCAGGAGAGAGATCAATCTCATTCAGCTACCTGTATACCTAGCCTGTGACTCAGCTATACTTGGTGGTACCAAGAGAGGCAAGACAGCAAAGAGAAAAATTAATAAGCTCCCCTGGAAATACCGGTATAAAGAACTAGTGAGTCGTGCCTTGGCAAGCCGAGGCAAGAGGGCATTGCTTCGGACTATGGCACTTGTGACCTTCTCATGTTTCTGGACAGAATTCACAGCGACCAACGGCTGGAACTACTCCAGATGCTGTTTATTTCCGCCGGGCGTGTGCAGATACATAATTCACCATAGCCATGACGTCACGGGGTGCCAACTGCAGCATACCGGGTACTAGTAATAACTGGGTGTGGCTGCGGGCGTATGTCCAGTGACGCGGCTACCATCCGATCGGGACACCTGGGGACGATGCTTATTATGCCGTGTGAAAAACATCATTCATGTTGCTCATTTGCATCATTCATGTTGCTCATTCGTTTTTGGCTGCCATCGGAAGCCATAAGATGTTGAATAAATAAATAAATAAATTCTCACAAGGAAGCAGATTGCCCGGATCTTCAGCCTACGGTACCATAAGAAAACATATATTTGCATTTTATTGGCATTCTAGTGCATGGGGGTAATGAATAATTATAAAGTATGATGCTACTTCGACGTAGTACTATTCATTAGTTGAGGGAGTAGGAAAGAGAAAAGACTGAAGAGGAACTTGGCTCATGGGCAAAGAAATAGAACTGAGTTACCGAGGAACCCGTGCAGCGCACAGTGTGGTTGGACTTTGCACAAAGAGCCATCTATGGTGACGGAAGCATTCATTTTTTGACTTCGAAAGTAAACCATTCACATTCCGCGCGTGCAAACACACACACGCACACACACACACACGCGCGCAAACACACGCACACACACACACACACACACACACACACACACACACACACATGTGCACGGGTATGAGGGACACACTAGCATGAAGGATATGCGTCGATTCGCTACGCAATGGTGGAAAGGAAATGGTATGTATCATTATTCTGAACTAAACTAATCCAGACGTTGGATGCTTGGCATAGTTTCAACGACTTGCATCATAAACACAACCTACCGCCGTACCGGTAGTTAACGTACGGAATATGTATGAATCAAGTTAATTCTTTCATGTTCGCAACAACACATCGAGTACAGATATGTACATCACTCTAGCTCCGGACGCACCTGCAGAGCAGCTGGTACCAACATCACGTCATAACGTCCTTCTGCAGAGGCAGCACTATCTTTACGTTCAGTGAGCGCATGCTGTGCGCATTACGACCAGGTCTGCAGCCACGGGTGGTTCAAAGCTATTCGTTTAGATAGCGTAAGAATACTAAAACAGGCCAGTTTCAATTAACGTATTGTCCAAACTGCATGCATGGCTGCACATAGCGAGCACTGCCAGCACACTTTACATGTACATGTAAATAGAAGTGAGGGCAAGGTGAGGACAATCACGGAAAAAGAATGCTTCATGGATTCATTGCCATGGGGAACTTGGAAAGGCTTTGTTTCTAGCTCACTGTCCACTAACTCTACTAGAGAGTGAAACAATGGCAGGGTAACAACAGCGTGTCCTCCACCTTACCATGTCGATATGGGAGAAAACAATGCCGATATACCATCATCGTTTCCATCATCAACGCAGATCCTGCATCATGGCCATAGCCTTTCTCCCTGCTTGGGTTTCGACCCCATAGTAACTAACGTTTACATAATATTTTACTACGTCACATGCTCTGCACCCCGCTTCACACTCAAGTCAGCCTGCCCCCGAACATACCGGCATTTTCACGCCTCCCCATCTCTCCGTCCTAATTTCACCACACGTACTCCCTGCCACCTACAATCAGGGAGTAGTACAATACCCTGCCTACAATGTAAGCCTTGTATGATGTACCATATCACGACCTGAACTCTTCCTAATACATGTATGATATCTTTACCACTGTTGGTCTTTGGGTACTTCAGCACACGTACCAGTGCACATACCCTCGGTAGTTTTCATACCTTATCTCGTTTGGGCAGGTGCTTCACCCGATCACCCAAACAACAATACCTCTCGCGGAGATACGGACGGTATGATGCTTTTGCCACCAGAGGTTACCTACATGTATGTGACATGGACAAAGGTTCGGGACCAACCATGACCCGTTTCCTAACTGCTGCTGGTGTCCAGCTTCGCTTGATGAGCGCGGATGTGGTGTTCAGTGGCGCGCCACTCGCGGTTATGCAACTGGGAAAACACTACTGTCGCTGTTGTCTATATCCGTCCTCTGCCCGCCGCCGCAAGATGCTTGTCATGCATGTACTTCGAAGTAAGAATAATATTATAATTGTTGTCGTTAGGGTTGAGTCAGAGAGGTGACAACAAGAGGACATTATGTACTAAGGTAGTCTTGGTGACGTTCATCTCTACCGGCTATGCGTGCTCAGAACACCAGGTAGATCTATCTAGACACTACTGCTCAGAACATGCTTAGAGCGGTAGGTATGTCTACTAGCACAATCATGTACTGTGCTAGTAATAGTGCACCATCATGTTGTCTGTACCGTATTTTGTAGTGCAACAATATCACCGGTGCAGTAGCCAGTAGGAGTGGAGTATAATTATAGTAGAGAGAGAGCAGAGTTAAAGAAAAAGATTTGTCTAGGGGAGTCCCAACACATGAGTGACATTATAATATCAGCAGGAGGTCTTGATGGTGTGGCACATCTCTTCCACTAACCACTGACCTGTGTATTTTTTGATTTTGATATGCATTGTTATCAATGATCTTTCCCAAGGAAACCCACTCGCTATAGAATAGGAATCCAGTTGCCTCCCAAGGAGCCTTCGAATTAGCGTATTGCATTAAACCAAAATCAAAAGCCCCCAAGGCAATAGCTTCGGTAACCGTCTGTGCTGAACTAACTTGCCAGGTACTAGTAACCGGCTGTGTTTGTGCTTGCTTGCATGAGGGGCAGCAGTTTGACCAAATGACCGTATTCATGAAGCGATAGTAGCCTCTCACTGTAGCAGGCTCTAGCTGGTTCATACTCACAGTTTCCCCTACAATAATATTAATACAATTGTAGTCATGTACTGAAGGTCTTGAGAAGTGGGAGGAACAAATACTGTATGTGTGATTTACATGACATGTACGATAATAGTGGCAGCGACTTCAGCAAACACTGCATCGGGTAGCGGAAGTAGCATTCCCCTCTCTTTGTTTGTTTCTGCGTTGGCTTTGGTATCGGACTTTTGTCTTCCTGGCGTGCAGAAAAAGGTGTTGTCCAGTCCCAGTATAGCACACTTTTAAAAGTCCTTACTCATTCACAAGCCAAAAATTCGTTTCGTGGACTCGTACTTCACACCTGACGGGAAAAGGAAGTGTAGTGTAGAAGTACATGACATGTATGCGGCGCGGGACCACGGTACAGGTACACACATGTACATGATTGTACTACTACTACTACCAAGAATGCATAAACACTCTGTTTATGCACTCTTGGTACTACTAGTCTATGATTAATTTTATAACCATGATACTGTACCAGGCATACCGTGATGATACTACACAACCAACTAAGCTAGGCTGTAAGCATGGTAAGACTAAGACTAAGTAAGAGTAAGAACATACACACTACATAACAGTCCACACAACTGATAGTGTAGACTCCGTAGTCAGTAGATCTAAATCTGTCCCCGGGGAAAATTGCAATTCCGCGGCCGCGTTTTTTTTCCGCGTTTTTTGCGATTTTTTAAAAGACCGCGTTTTCTGAACTTTTTTGTTGCACTACACGTACACACAGTGCACTGTTCGGTCAGCAACGTCTCATCGTGGCGGCTTTTTACTCAAATATGACGAGTGCTTACACCAGAGACTTGTAACTGATTGATTTCACTACATACTCACTGAAAATTGCCGCACATTATTCACCGCATATTTACCGCAAATTCACCGCAAATTATGCCATATTATGCCGCGTTTTTCCCCGCGTTTTTTGCGATTTTTTTCCGCAATTTTCCCCGGGGACAGCTAAATGTATCACCGGTGCACAGACTCAGTCAGTCAGTCAGTCAGTCAGTCAGTCAGTCAGTCAGTCAGTCAGTCAGTCAGTCAGTCAGTCAGTCAGTCAGTCAGTCAGTCAGTCAGTCAGTTCATTACTAATAGTAATACTTTGTAATAGTCCCAGAGCTTATTTTCTCTTGATACCACCAATACCACCATGAATGATCTGATGATCTACCAGTGTCTGTGTAGATATGTAGTCTGCCAGGTGAGGCCCAGTGCGCGGTGTATTTGCAGTAGCATTACCATGATTACGCAAAATTTTGCGTGTTGGGTTTTCATGGTTTGGGCCAGGGAGTCGTATACCGTACTATACCCCCTGGACTGGTTTTGGCCTACATGCAGGTCGACAAGTCATAATAATTATAATGGAGCTGGTTGCTTTCGTCAGTGACCAGGTGACTCAACCTTTCCCAAACGTTCTCAATCCGCCATGTGAGGACACACCGTGACGGGTTGGTGATGGTAGTAGTGTGTGCAGCCGGGCCGCAGGTTATTACGCAAGAGAAGGATTCATCTCATTCTGCACTGACATCGACTGAGCACAAGCGGACGTGAAATGTTCCAACTATTTACTTGTATGAGCTACTAGCTGAAATAATTAGTGCACGTTTTGGACGTTGGGGCAAGTACGATCAAAGTAATAGTTGGATGGCTGAGATGTCCGGGATCGCTGTGTATCTCACACTGCGGTTCACACACAGGGCCGGTACGCGGTAACGACCATGACATTGTGATGGCGCTTTCTCGCGTGGTGAGATCGAAGCCGTCGCCTACGAATAACATCCTACATCCTGCATCGTGGCAACTGATGCAGCCCCAAGGTAACCGTCTGGTTCAACGTGTGTCTTCGCGATACCTTCGTCGATGTACCAGCGTCGACCAAGCCAGCCATGGCAAAACACCGTACACCGCCTGGTGCTCGGCTTGGCGATCAGTATCTTCTTCGTGTATCAACATGCACGGGATTTCGGGTCCTATAAAGGAGAGTGTTTGTGAGAAGAACTGTCAGAAAGCAAACCGCCACCTTCGAAAGCAGATCAAGTTGGCAGCTGAGAGTGGAAGGACGAAGTGCACAGCAAGCAGTTGAGTTCGACGATCCGTTCAGACGCGATCTTGTCCTTGAACAACCTAGCCACCTACTGTACTCAACGACTTATTCATTTGAGTTCATTTGCCGTTTGTCTGCACCTCAACCTTGGCCTTCGACGTTCAGGAAATGGGAGCATCTCGCCAAGCCCAAGGCGCTACAGGTCTGAGTGCATCTGTGCGTGAGAGCAACATGCTGTTGCGACTGCTGGCTGGAGCGTTGCTGCTAGCAACGGTCTCTGCTAGAGGTAAGGACAACGATTGCCCTCGTCCCATGATTGTGATGATACCCTGGCCCCATCATACCCTGGCCCCATCAATGGCATCATACTAGTACTAGCACAATCATGTACCCTGGCCGCACGACACCCTGGCCCCATCATACCCTGGCCCCGTATTGCACAAAGCTTCCAAAATGAAGCCCAATAACGTATCTCACATCAGATTAGCATTCGTACATGCAAGCAAGTATGCCCGAAACCTGCAGCTTAGCAGAATCATGTTAAGTTAGAGTTTTCCAACTTCCGAGCTCAACATGAGGCGTGCCATTGTGTCCATCATGAATGCTGTTTGCATTGTGTACTGCAGGTTTAAATCACATGACTGCCAGCACGGAGTGCAGGGGAGGCCAGTTCGGTACCATGCCGGGGTTAAGCCAGGCCATGTTTGGACTGGCGTTCCAATACGATGCGAACCACACGAACGGCAAGATGCCGCTCATTGACCGCACGCAACTTTTGAACTCGACAGTAGGCCCGATGCTGGAGTACCACCTGTGGCCGAACTGGACCGAAGCGTTTACAATCACGATGAACGCTACAAGGAAGGTTGCGTTGGACTGGAAACAGAACTCGTCTCATGAAAAGGACAACTTCAACACCATTGCACAATACGGCCAGCTGTACAGATACTTTATGGATCATTACGGTGATGATGCACCGCAGCCGACAAGAGGCGTTGTACTGAAGAGAGGAATCGGCTATGACCCTAATCTAACCCAGGACTACAGGTGGGTGAACGACAACATTTTCGGCCAGGAGCGTCTAATGGGCAACAACCCTGTCCAGCTGCAAAGAGTTGTGGATGGTGCTGAGCAGAGCGGGCGTGTAGCTGGACAGCCAAGTGTTGGTATTACCTGGAAACATCTCGCGTCAATGTTGAATACCACCTATCTTGATGTGGTTGATGGAAAGTCTAAGTTTGATCAAGCCCTCCAGGAAGCTACTGGGGACATGAGTGACTCCATTTCCAAGGTTAGTCGAGTGTCTTGGCTCTGTCATCTGGTCATGCACATCTTGCTGTCTCTGTGCACAGTATTGACTCTGTCATCCACATCTTGCTGTCTCTGTGCACCGCATTGACTCTGTCATGCACATCTTCCTTTCTCTGTGCACAGGCTATAGCCCGTCATCAGCTGTATGTTCTGCATTACCCGTTGCTGGCGGAGATCGTCGGCGACGTTAATGCTCCCGGTGCCTATGCCAACCGATTCATGATGGCGCCTATCGCACTTTTCCTATCCACCCATGACGACTCCTATCCGTTGAAGCCCGTCGCTATCCAGTTAGGACACACTGGTGAGAAACTTACGATCTGCACCACATGCATGTGTAATCTGCATCTCCATGATCCACACTTGATGAGGTCTTGAACTAGCATAATGGCTGAAGATTGAACCGTGGGGGGTGCTTATTCATCCTACTCACAAACATCATTCATTGTTTGTATTCATGACCAATGGTTTTCATGCATAGACCTGTATGACCCTTGTTCCCCCCCCCCCCCCATTCAAACAGTTTATCATGCATGGACCTGTGTGATCCTGCTGCCCCCCCCCCCCCCCGCATTTAAACAGTCTATCATGCATTGCATGGCTGCCACCCTAAACCGCTGATAAATCCTGCACAATACAATCATGTCTTGCTGTACAAATCACTTCCCGGTTGCGTCTGTGACTCTGCATGCCTCCTCTCCAGCCTCGTCCTGGGTGTGCACCCCGCAAGGCAGCTCATTCTTCTGGTGGACGGTTGCCAAGTTGTACGTGAACAACGCCGACGGTCTTGTTTCGCAGATCGTCCACCATCTGGTTAATGCTCATCTGATCTCTGAGTCGTTTGCTGTTTCCATGCACCGCAAGCTCCCCGAACAGCATCCAGTGTACCAAATTCTCAAGTTCCATATCGAGGTACAGTAAACCTATGTTAAGAGACCACCTGTCATGTGATATCAGTCATTTCAGGACCAACACCTTGTTTATTCATACATTTGAATCTGTGTAGAAAGACGGGGCCACCTGTCTTATGAGACCGGTCCATTTAGGACCCCTACCATGCTACTACATACATTTGAACCTGTGTAGAAAGACCACCTGTCTTATGAGACCGGTCATGTCACGACCCAGACCCTGTTTGTACAGTCTAAAACGAATGAGTCTTACGCAAGCCGTAAAAGATTTCTAAAAACTCAGAGCCATGCGAGGGTGTGAAAAGGTCTGCGTTTAGAGGACACTGGAAGCGGATGATCATCCGATCACGCTTGGCCACATAAGAGTCCTGAGGTACTGCATCAATACCGATGCATGGCTGTGTATGCACAGCTAAGTGATAGATGGGATTGACGAGGGCACAGGAATCCTCTTATTAACCAACCTGATCGAGCCGGTCATCGTCTTCTCTTGTTTTCCAGGGCCTTATCCCGATCAACACAATGGGATTTAAACTCCTGACACCCGCCAACGGCAGCGTTTCGGAAATTGCTGGCTTCGGTCACAAGGGTCTGTTGGATCTGATTGAAGTCGGCTACGAGCATTGGACGTATGAGAAGATGGACTTTGAGCAAGACTTGGTGGTGAGTATAAACCTAGCTATTACAGGACAGAGGCAGTGCGCCTTTTAACCAGTGCTAGAGTGCTCAATGCATGAGGTGGGCAGAGTGCCGTACACAAGAGGTACACAAAGGAACGTAAGGGGCTTATTTGTAGTGACTCAGAGTTTCATGGTTTTGAAACAGCCAATCATCGACGCCATTGAAGGAGATATAAAGCAGCGTACCTCAGTCGTGTGTAGCTAACGTTGTTGTTGAGCCTATGATATGGATTATGTACTAGTAGTACATGGATGTGGAGTTACAGATACTGACAATGCATGGGCGAGTACTGCATGGATGGGGAGTTACAGATACTGGCAATGCATGGGCGAGTACTGCATGGATGTGGAGTTACAGATACTGACAATGCATGGGCGAGCACTGCATGGATGTGGAGTTACAGATACTGGCAATGCATGGGCGAGTACTGCATGGATGTGGAGTTACAGATACTGGCAATGCATGGGCGAATACTGCATGGATGTGGAGTTACAGATACTGGCAATGCATGGGCGAGTACTGCATGGATGTGGAGTTACAGATACTGGCAATGCATGGGCGAATACTGCATGGATGTGGTGCACTGTGTGGTATACCTGTAAATAATATTTTTTCTGAAAACAGCTGGCCAGTGTTGCTGCATGTCATGGCACCAGCACGGCAAATAACCATGGTAACATACGGCAGCTGTGCATGCAACTGCTTTCCCTTCTTTTTATGGCTTGTCCAGTCAAGTATTCTCTTGCAGCGTGCATTGGGAGTCGAGACGTTGCCATCTTGTTTTATATGTAGTTATTTATTGTAGTACCGGTATGTCACTTCTACCTCACCCTCTATCCCGGTCGTGTAGGTACGAGGTGTTGACAATCAGGAGTTTCTCCAGAGCTACTCGTTCCGTGATGATGGGCAGCTGGTCCACGATGTCATCAAGCAATGCGTCTCGGAATATGTTGATCAGTAAGACTCCTGCACTTTTGTACGCCTGTTACTGTCCGAGCACATGCCGGGGTCTCAATCATACTATTGTACAGGCGATGGGAGGGTTAAACAAATCCGCGGAATAATTCACAGCCTTCTCTTTATTCATGTTTCCTGTGTGCAGCTTGCTGCCACGCATTTTGGTCATTCTGAATCCACCATGAAGTCCCCCTCCCCCTCCCCCCCCCCCCCCCCCCCCTCCGCCCACTTGAACACACACACACACACACACACACACACATACACATGAGGCAATGCTGGGGTCAAAAACTCGCATGAACCGCCTGGCAAACGTGTTGCTTGACCAGGGCACCTCGTAGCTTCGCCTGGCATAGGTATTGACGGTGTTGAAGCATTTGTAATACTGGTAGGCGTGTGCTTTGTTTCTGAGTGCCTGTTTGAAGTAATGGCCAACCATCTTATCATTCTGCTCACATATACTGTCCTACTTGTCTTTGCTTGCACACACAGCTACTACTGCTCGGAGGAGGATGTGAAGCGTGACAGTGCTCTGCAGGAATACGTCCAGGAGTTGTACACCCAGCATCCGGTACACACTGCACATCATAATAATTATATTATATGAGCCGCAATCAGCGAAAACGACCCTTAGAGGTTTGGTAATTTTTTCGAGAAATAGGTCGATTTGTGACGTTCAACGGTTTTGATCGCGCTGCGAACAGCACGACGACTTCTTGAACCCCTTGCTTGAAGTATTATTAATTTTATTTTGAAGTTGAAGTGGTGTCGAGTGGCGACTCCAATGTTCCTTGATCTTGTTGCGATGGCTGCGGACGCCAGAGTTGTTCGAGGAGCGCACACGACAGTCATTGTGTACACCTAACTCGAGCCTGGTGGAGAGTGGATGGTGAAGTAGCCGCTGAAGTTCAGAGTGAGGATGAGACGTTCTTTTGTTCCGACATCGCTGTCGACAGCGAGGCGGAATCGCAGCCGTCATCTCCTGCTGTGAAGCGGCTCAAGGTGGCCGATGACTCGTCAGATTCGAAAGATGAGGAGTCGTCACCTGAGATAAATTCTGAGTCTGGGGCTAGTGACGGCAGCGACGTCGTGTCTTCAGCTGCGGAGGAAGAAATGGAAGACGAGATTGCGGAACGACTCCACGAAGGATGCAGCTGCGAATATGTCGATCATTTCTCCGCACTCATCAGCTATTCTTTGTCATTATAGCTGCTTACTGTACTATTTCAAAAGTATTCAAGCTGCCCACCCACCTTCGAATGCTGAATATTCATTGTACACATACATCGTATACATGCATTGCACCAATTTGGAGTACATCTTTTATATTGGTGTATACACCCGTTTAGGATTGGAATATTGAACTTTTTCTTCGCTGAGGTCCTTCAGTAGATGTGTTTCAACAATTTTCCAACCAAAAAGGAATTTCGAAAATGTTGACCCTAAGGGCTGTTTTCGCTGGTTTAGGCCCATATTATGATACAGTAATGTAATCTTTATGAGTCTTATGGCCACTGATACGGGTCTTCTTGCATACGTCGTCGGCAGACTCTGCATGACCCGAGGACAATTCAACTCCTGTGACCAGTGTGTGTTGACTGTGACCATTGCTCTCTGTATCACTGTGCCTGCGTGTGGACACTCTTTTAAAACTACTGATGATCTTGTGGTAGTATTATGAAGTTAATGCTTGCACTTTGAGGTACCACAGTGACACTATCATGCTGCATGGTCAATGATGCATGGTCAATGATGCATGGTCAATGATGGATGGTCATCCTTGTGAATTGGTGTGAATGTGCAGAACAAGAGCATGGTTCAAAGCCTCAACAGCGTGGATGACTTGAAAACTATGCTGCGCCGCATCATCTACATCAACTCGGTTCATCACGCTGCCGTCAACTATGCCGTGCGTGAGTTTGGCTCTTCTGTCCTCACTATACCATTCTCCACATTCAAACGCCCTGAGGAGCTAGGAAACCTGTCGGCCATTGTCACCGACACCAGCAAACTGGATGCACTCGTTCCGTACTTCTTGGGCGATTACGAGCACGCAAGTGTAAGTTGCACTTTGACTGCGTACTGTGAGGGAGTGTGTGAGGGCGTTCAGCTCCCAGGTATTGTATTTTATGTATTTGTATTTATATTTATTTAGAGTGGCAACCAAAACAGGCAAACGGCCTAATGACAATGTCACCACTGCAGAGAAGCGAGGGGAGGGGAGATGACAAAACAGAAGTACAAGAGATGAGAAGAACTACAAAAATCCACGGAAACGTATCATCCTCTTTTTACGGTCTAAATTCACACACACACACACACACACACACACACACACACACAAACACACACACACACACATACACCACCACCGGCCATCACCACCATCACCAATACCACTCGTACAGGGGTGTACTCGGCAGGGGTGCGTTTGAACTTTGAATTGGTTCCTGGGTATCCGGGCTCTGTGTGCCTGCTATCTACTCACCCGCTAGTGACATCCTGTTTTGCATCAGACTATCATTATCATAGTTACTTGGTCACTACCATGCATGCTGTAAACCTAGCTGTCAGCCTACACACCTCTACACCAGTATTCTTCAACAGTACTCCATGGGTTTGGCAATCTACAGTACTACAGTTGAACATCGATTTTCCGACCACCTCTGGGCAGACAACTGTCAGGCGGTGTTCAGATAAGGCAAATGTTCCGGATAAGAAACATGTACATGTACATGTACGACCTTTTTACTTTTCAAAATTTTCGTATTTTTGAATGGCTCACTGCATGCACAGTGCGTACTCTACGGCACGTCCCGCCCAAAAAACCCGTTACGGATAATCAAATGGTCGGATAGTCGATGTGCGGATAATCGATTTTTCAACTGTAGTATACTCACATGCATGCACGCGTATCTCTGACACTGAATATCCGTAACCTATCAGCCGTGGCCACATATGCTATTTCCCCATGTTTTGCCTGTGTGTTTCTTGTCCATTGCATGGCCATGTGCAGCTCCAAGCAGAGACGGCAACACAGCTGGCATCTCTGCGCTTCAGTGACCTCTTTGCCTATGGTCCGAACATGACTTACGCCAGTCAACCAGTCAAGGACATGATATCACGCTGCCGCACTCTGTTAGTTGGCGATGGCACACCCAAATCCCGGGCCACCGAGATGAGTGTGGAGGGAGTCATTGAGAGGAGAAACGCCATTCGCAAGTCTAAGAACATCATGGAGTACGCTTACATGAAGCCGTCAACGCTACCTAACAGCATTGCCATCTAAGTCCCCAGACCCTGCCGAACACAGACATGCTGATGGGAAGAATCAGCCGGTCGACTGGAGAAAGATGCTGCCTGTTATAGTTTTCACTTCCAGGCACCACTGTACTAAAAAGAAATAGGTGTTATATGATCATAGAGATTTACGTTCACTGAGCACACAAACATCGCAACATTGCATTTTCTGTGGTTTGCATGGCCAGCTTTGCAAGAAAACCCAAGAGTGACGGAACATCTTGGTACTAACTTTTCATGCAATGTGCAGCCCAGGCTGGCGCTGCTGATGCTAAGTATGGAGATAGCCTTCACGCTCAATGATGTCCATCCCCTCTCTCTCTGCGTAGGTTTCTTTTGCCCGAGTTTGGTCACGCTGGCTGCAGACCGTGACCAGCGATACATACATATTCTGCTTTCACACGGTCCCCAGGAAATTACTCCCCATCATAGTAACCAATTTTGCGGCTGTGCTCCGGCATGCCATTCAACACTGAAAACCCGCATTTGCAACCCAATTTCCCAATAGTAACTAACGTTTACATTATTAATTTAGAAATAATTTTTACTACCTTCCACGCTCAGCACCCCACTACGCACTCAAGTCAGCCTGGCCCCGAAAATACCGGCATTTTCACGCCTCCCCATCTCTCTGTCCCAATTTCACTGCTCCCTGCCACCTATAACCAGGAGGTAGAACGTACAATTGACGAACAGCCTCTTATACTGGCAAAGCAAATGTGCTTACATACATGTGTGACACAATATCTCAGTACAAAAGAATTGATCAAAACGCCAACCTAATGCCAAGAATCTGAAGAAAGACTGTGTTACCATAACGGGAACTGAAGCCCAACACAAATCTAAAGTAGCACGTACAATACCCTGCCCACAATGTAAGCCTCATAATAGATGACTTGCACCATATCCTAATACCAAGAGCATGCGGGGTTGCATACTCTACATGTAGTCTTGCTAATACAGTCAATTTCGTTTATAACGACATTCGGCGGGGCATCAAAAAAGTGTCCTTATTCGCGAAGTGTCGTTATACCCGAAGTCCCATTATATGTATTACAGTTGGATGGAACATTCTGTCGTTATTCGCGAATTGTCGTTATATCCGCAGTCGTTATATCCGCAGTCGTTATTAGCCAAGTTGACTGTACCTGTACAGTCATGTAATACAATCATGTACTAGTACCTGTTGTCTACAGCATGGCCAGCTAATACGTATACATGTATAATATTACCTGAAGCCGAGTGAATATGGGCGAATATTCACTAGTATACAAACCGAGGTTTGTATAACTAGTGAATATGTATAGGATATTGACCAAGACGAGGTCTATATGGGAAATATAGGCCGAGTAAAAGACCGAGGTCCGCCGAGGTCTTTTACGAGGCCTATATTTCCCATATAGACCGAAGTCGAGGTCAATATCCTATTTATCACGATTCCTTTGCCATAACCCCAAAATTTGAACCTTCAGTAGCTATTTTAACCTTTTTAGTATAGCATTTGTACTATAGTGTACATAGGGTGTTGCCTATTTTGGGTACAAGACTGTAAGAACAACAGGGTTCAGCATCTGCAGCACAGTGGCTGGGTGGTATAAGGGGTTGCTTGAGATTCATACTGTTGTGAGTTCAAATCCTGCTTGTTCTCTTCCTTCGTCTTCTTTCTTTCAATTTTTCTTTTTGAAGTGGAGAGAAAAAATCTAAGTCCCTCCAAAGTCGAAAGATTACAATGCCTAAGTGGTCGATACAAGCGGTCGATATAAGCGGCCGATATTGCGGCGATATGGGTAATATAGGACCAGTCAAGGATCACGAGAATTAGTGGAGGTCGATATAGAAGAGTGATAATCGCCCATATTCACGAGGCTGAAGGTAATATTAGACTTAGGCTGTGTTTACATGAGAAATTTCAACCCGGGTCGAGTTCAGCCCGGGTTGAAAGTCTGTACGATAGACAAAAGAGGTGAGCGTTTACATGAAGACAGTTGACCCGGGTCAAATACTGATATGCCGCCAAAAGTCCACTTCTACAGTCCTCTATGGTCACGTGAATCCGTTCGCGCGAAATTTGCATGTGCAGTGCTGTTCAAACCTGGCGCGAGATACGCACAGAAGTACGTTTGTACGATTTTCTTGACCCGGGTTGGTTTCAACCCTCCCCTTGGGGGGAGGGTTGAAATCAACCCGGGGCGAAATTTCAACCCGGGTCAAGCGCAATGCGTCATGTAAACGCGCCATTCACTTTGTGCACATGGGGGGTTGAAATCTGACCCGGGTCGAACTCAACCCGGGTTGAAACGCCTCATGTAAACACAGCCTTATACCTCTCCATATTTACCCTCTTGTCCCTAAAACCCAACAAACGAGTCCTGTTGGTCATACATGTACAAAGTACATGTAGTGAGTGTATGATGTACGCAGAACTAACGTACATGCATGTAAGTCGTTGTTGCTTCACTGAGCCTTCAGACCGACTGGCGTGTTCTTGCCTGAATCCGAGGGCGGCGTGTCCAGAATCTTGTTCAATCGATCGTGTACACGTACTGGTGCATATATATGCGCATGTGGCATGGGAGGTGACGACCTTGGTAAGGCTTGGAGAACACGCTCGTGCCAATCACCATGGAGAACACGCTCGTGCAGCTTTGTGGCGGGAGCCAATCATTAGAGAGGTGTCGTTTCACGCGAAGATTTGACCAATCAGAGAGAGGTTTCGTTTCACGCGAAGATTTGACCAATCAGAGAGAGGTTTCGTTTCACGCGAAGATTTGACCAATCCGCGATCATCGCGCCAATTCGGGAGTCGGTTTATAACAGCGAGCCAAGCGGTTCTACCCTCACTTCTTTTCTTTTTAGGCAGCGCTTCGAAACTGTTGTGTGCCCTAGGAAAATTCTACGCTAACGTCCTTGAACAGGGCTGTTCTGAGTACAAACGAAATTCCTGGCTTGCCGCTTGATCCGCAATCATCGGGCCATTGACATGTTGAGCGTCCAAAACCTTGTTTGCTCGCTGGAACACTCCGTCTGTGAAGATGCTCACTGTCAGCACCTGATCACATGCGGATCCAGCGGCAATGGCAAGCAAGGAATTATTTCGTTTGTACTCAGGAAAGTCCTGTCTACGGAAGTTAGCGTAGAAAATGTCTAGGGCACTCGACAGCTCCAGTGCGCTGACTGAAGAGAAATCGAGCGCAGCACCGAGTACTGCTCTCTTTACAGTACATGTACGTATCGAAAAGTGGTGAATATTCAGCAATATTCACCACTTATGTAGATTGTATGTGGGTGAATATGGAATGAGGTATAAATGTATGATATCTTTACCACTGTTGGTCTTCAGCACGCGTAGACCTACCAGTGCACAAATATACGCTTGGTAAACCGCGTTTGGGCAGGTGCTTCACCCGATCACCCAAACAACATTACCTCTCGCGGAGATACAGTATGATGCCTTTGTCACCAGAGTTTACATAATTTATGTGACATCGACAAACCAGCTGTCGCATAGGATTCGCAGAATTCAACGTGTCGGTGATGAAGCAAACAAGAGATATCTCTCTGCCAAGGGGATACGGTTGTTGTTTGGTTGAGAGAGAGATGTGGCTGAGGAGAGAGCAGATCGCAGAGACGAAAAGATTACGTCTGTACAATGATATTGTCCTCCCGAGTCTCCTATTCAACTGTGAGGCATGGGGATTGACGGCAGGAAACCTCTCCAAGGTTGCCGTATTCCACAGAAAGCAACTTCGATGTATCCTGGGTATCAAGCTGCAAGACAAAGTCAGCAATGAACATCTGTACGAACGTTGTGAAACCTGCCCAATATCCACCCTGATTAGACAGCGAAGGAGGAGAATGACAGGACACATCCTGAGAATGTCCCCCGACGCTCCCGCCCGCAAAGCCATGAACATCTACTTGACCCAAGACTCCCGAGGCCGGCCAGGGCGCCCAAGAAAGACGTTGGCAACCAGCGTTGTGGAGGACATGAGAGAGGCCGGAATGACTTTCACCACAGTGCGGGATCTCGGCCTGGCGACTAAGCGGGCAAGGGACAAACCGGCATGGGGAGCGATGGTCTACAACTAATTATACTGAACTAGAACAACGGAAAGATTCATCAAGAGACAGCGGCGGATCGAACATTAGTGTTGCACAATATTAATGTTCCATTATGCGCAACTGTGTTATTATGACATCGACAAAGGTTCGGGACCAACCGTGACCCGTACTGCTGCTGGTGTCCAGCTTCGCTTGATGAGCGCGGATGTGGTGTTCAGTGGGGCGCCACTCGCGGTTATGCAACTGGGAAAACACTACTGTCGCTGTTGTCTATATCCGTCCTCTGACCGCCGCCGCAAGATGCTTTTTCATGCATGTAAGAATAATAATTATTATTATAATTACTGTCGTTAGGGTTCAGTCAGAGAGGTGGCAAGAGGAGGACAATGTGCACTAAGGTACTCTTGGTGATATTCATATCTACCGGCTATGCGTGCTCAGAACACCAGGTGGATCTATGTAGACACCACTGCTCAGAACATGCTCAGAGCGTCAGGTAGATCTACTAGCATGCATAATCATTGTACTAATCATCATCATCATAATTATTGTCTGTACAGTAGTGCATCATCAGTGCAGTAACCAGTAGGAGTTATACATATAATATCAGCAGGTGGTATTGATGGTGTGGCACATCTCTTCTGCCGACCTGTGTATTTCAGATTTTGATATGCATTATCATCAATGATCTTTCCCAAGGAAACCCACTTGCTATAGGAATCCAGTTGTCTCCAAAGGAGCCTTCGAATTAGCGTATTGCACTAAACCAAAATCAAAAGCCTCCAAGGCCGCGATCCATGAATGAATAGCTTCAGCAAACGTCTGTGCTGAACTTGCAAGGTAACTGGCTGTGTTTGTGCTTGCGTGAGGGGCAGCAGTTTGACCAAATGACCGCGGTCATGAAGCGATATGTTAGCCTCCCATCGTAGCAGGCTCTAGCTGGTTCATACTCAGTTTCCCCTACAATATTAATAGTCATGTACTGAAGGTCTTGAGAAGTGGGAGGAACAAAATTAATACTGTATGTGCGATTTACATGACATGTACGATAATAGTGGCAGCGACTTCAGCAAACACTGCATCGGGTAGCGGAAGTAGCATTCCCCTCTCTTTGTTTGTTTCTGCGTTGGCTTTGGTATCGGACTTTTGTCTTCCTGGCGTGCAGAAAAAGGTGTTGTCCGGTCCCAGTATAGCACACTTTTAAAAGTCCTTACTCATTCACAAGCCAAAAATTCGCTGCGTGGACTCGGAGTCGTAGTCGTACTTCACGCCTGACGGGAAAAGGAAGTGTAGTGTTGAAGTATGCGGCACGGGACCACGTGGACCATGGTAGATCTAGTGTGTAGGGTCTACCCAACTGTTTTTTAGTATTCCCTGATTAGTGATGGTGCCGGGCAGGGTCCCTGACGCATCGGTCTACTCCCTGCCCGCGGCCCGACATACCGAGGGACGGACCTAGCTAACTGGCTACATGCAGCCTGCCAGGTAATGGTTTGCCACAACTCACAAGTCCATACTCGACCAGCCTTATTTATACCAGGCATACACACTACACAACTAATACTAGTAATAGTGCAGACTCCGTAGTCAGTAGATATAATTATGTACTCGTACCACCGCAGTTCCTGACTTCCCAGAACTTATTTTCTCTTGGTAGATCTACCGCAGGTGTATCATGATCTACCGATGTCTGTGTACGTGTAGTGTGCCAGGTGCGGCCCAGCGCGCAGTGTATTTGCAGTAGCATTACG